GACCCCTCCTTGGGTTTTCGAGGCAGTATCACTACGGAAGTAGGATTGCCCAACCTTCCTTCCGAGGAGTGATACTGCCTTGGAAACCCAAGGAGGGGTCGCTATGAGTCGGTTCCGACTCGACGGCACATAACAACAACAACGATTATTATTATTATATTTTGTATGTCCTCTCTATTTTTGTTCTTCAGTTTCATAGTGTCATTGGTTAGAAGATAATGTATCTTAGATGTTAAGAACACAGCTGGTCCTTATTTACAAAATGGGAATAATACTTAACACTGATGTCATAAGAGCTAGGATCCAATAAGATAAGGATGTAACATGATGCTTTGTGCACAGTAAAGTTTCATAAATGTTCAGGGCCTCTTTGGTGTTCACTCTTCCTGACATTCTCTCGCTGACCCTGTCTGGTGATGTAGTCATGACTACACACCCCTGTCCCTCTCCTCTTGGAGAAAGGCTTATGCGTCCCTTCTTCACTCTCCAAAGCACTGGTAGCAGTCTTTCTGCTTCCTGCCCCTCCACAGCAACTCCAGTGCCCTGGATCAGCCAAGAGCCGAGGGGTCCTGGGCACTGCTGGGAGGACAGACTGATGGTGTGCCTGTATCTGCTGGTGGTGGTTTCACTGCTCCTCGGATGCATTGGCCTAGCTGTGACCCTGGTTAAGTGTGAGTAGGGCCAGGATGGGATGTGGGGGAGACTGGTGTGGGATGCGGGATGACCCGGGCTCAAAATGGCCTCTTCCCTGTAGACCAGGCGGTGGTGGAAGAACTGAGGATGCTAACCTTTCAGCAGATGGCATGGCAAGCAAATGGTGAGTGCTTTCAGTCATTCGCTCCTGCCACCCATATTGAGCACCTACTATGTGCCAGACACTGTGCTGGGCACTGGGGGTAGAAAGGTGAACTCAGAAACAGTCCTCGTCCTTGTGCACTTGTGCAGAGTGTGTGTGTGTGTCTACATCTCTACTGTTTAATATGAGTGCCATAAGCCATGTGTGGCTGTTGAGCACTTGAAATAGGGCCAGCCCAAACTGAGATGTGCTGGAAGTGTAAAATATACACCAATTTCAAAGACTTACTATAAAAAAAGAATGTAGAAAAATTGCATTAGTATTTTTTCACATTTATTATATATTGAAATGGTGATATTTAAACATATTGGGATAAGTAAAAATATCATTGAAATTAATTTTACTTAAAAAATGTTATTATGCAAACTACATATGTGGTTCATGTTATTATTCTATTAGACAGTGCTGGTATTGATTTGTTGTTGTTGTTGTTGTTATGTGCCGTCGAGTAACCATTAACCAAATTATCACCCAAATGGGTAAAAAGTTCCAAATTTTGATGAATAGTCCAAAGAAAGAGGAATTTGGTTCTATGAAAATGTCTAACCAAGGATCTTGGGCTTCTTTTGGGAGGCCATAAAGAGCTTTCCCAGTGAGGTGGTGCTGCAGCTGAGCAAAGAAAGGGAAGGAGTTAACTAGGTGAGGGGTTGAAAGTCTCAGGTATGTGCAAAGGCTCTGTGGTCGGAGGCAGGATCACAAGTACAAGGGAGGAGGATGATGCAGTTGGGCAAGTGAGAGATGCTGGTGGCTTGGATAAAGGTGGTGGTCAGGGAATGGAGAGAAGTGAGTGAAGTAGAAAGACCTTTAGGGGGCAAATTTCACAAGACCTGAGAATAGATTGGGAATGGTGGTGTGGGAGAGGGAGGGGTATCAAGAATAACTTATGTCTGTCCTGGACAGTTGAAGGGCCATTCACTGAGCTAGGGAATGTTGGAGGGGGCTCAAGTTTGTGGGGGAGAAGATCACGCATTAGTTGGAGAAGAGTCTTCTGAGTTGTGCTGGACTTCACCATGACTGCTGAAGCCTGGGAATTACTCCATTCTACATGCCCCAACACTTACCTTACATTAAGCCACTCTTGCTCAAATCCCATCCATGAGTCCTCAGTGCCCAGAGTCCAATGAGAAAAAAAAAATCCTTGGCTTGGCATTCAAGGATCCGGCCATCAGATCTCATCCTACTCTAAGCTCAAGCTTCTCTGAGATTCCCCCACTTTCCTGCTGCACCATCCTTTCCCAACCTACTTGCCCCTGCACCTTTGTTCCTAAAGTGGTTCCTGCCTGCTGTGTCTCCTTTGCCTTCTCATAGTTATTGAATCACCCTTTTCCTTCAAAGCCCGCTTCCTCCAGGAAGTCCACTGCCCTCATTCCTCTAAGCCCCAGGGATTACTTCCTCCTCTGAGCCCCTCTGGGGCTTCTTCTGGGCACAGAGCATGGTTTTCAGCTCTTGCTTCTCTCTGGTCAGGGAGTGGGTTTTCAGCTGTAGGTGGTGGGTAGATGGCAACTCTGGGTCTCTAACACTCAAGCCCATCCCTGCTGACAGTGACTGGCATGTCAGGGCTAGCAGGCCTGAAGAAGGACATTGACCTCATAAGAGCTGACACTGACCAGGCCCTGGTGGAACTTCGGGGCTTATTAGGTGAGTTGAACTTGTGGAACTGCCCAGAGAGGGGGGCAAGGCAGAGTCAGCACATTCCATCATCTCCATAAGTCCCATTCTCAGTGCAGTCTGTGTGATTAGTGCCCTCTGGAGTTGAGCAGTGCATGGCTAAGACAGTTGTACATGGCATACCATGTACATGGCCCTGAATCGGGCCAAATCAACAAAATCCTATCCTGTCCTCAGACTGTACCAAGGTCACCTGCCCTGATGGCTGGATCCCCTTCGAGGGCAAGTGTTACTACTTCTCCCCAAGCACCAGGTCATGGGATGGAGCCCGGAAGTTCTGCCAGGAGAATTATTCTCACCTGGTCATCATCAGCAGCTTTGCCGAGCAGGTGAGCTGCCCTGTTGAGCCCCTGTGAATAAGCAGGACCAACCTGCCTCTCTTCCAGGATTCACACATCCTGCCCTGGATGGAAAGAATCTGGGACTGCTTTTGAGGAGCTAACAATGTTAACAGCAAGCTCTTACTGAAATAGCATTATGCAGAGGTTAAGAGGGTTCTCTCTGCTGGAGTCCAAGTCCTGATTGTGGTGTTGTGGTCTTGGGGAAGTTACGTATGCTCTCCAAGCCTCAGTTGCATCTCTAACGTGGGGTATAATTATGGCTGTCTCTTGATTAGCACTTTCTATTCTTTGGGTTATATTCCAAATATCTTACATGCCATTTATCTATTTACTCCTCACAATTCTACATGTCAGTGAATCAGTCAGGAGAGGTTATATTATGCTGTGGTAACAAAGTCTCCAAATCTTAATGAAAGATCTACTGTTGAAAGAGTCTGAGGTAAATCATCCACTGGATCTTAAAGCTTCCACAGAGATACAGGCCACATACTTCTACTCACAAAAGAAGTCATATGGACAAACCTATTCTTTAACCCTTTCAAGGCTGAATTCTTTTCTGCTTTGAATTTTTTATTGAAACCACGTGTTTTCAATAATAGAAGGCATTTTAAATGTTTTTTTTTTTTTTGAGGTAATAAGGATTTTGATACAATTAACGGGATACATAAGTTCCAAGGGGTCTCTGGTACTTGGATTGGTGGGATGAGGCCTGTTTCTTCAGATTCATGTGGTTATAGAGATTCCCCACTAGATGGCAGCACACACCAAAAGTGGGATAGCAGTTTCCCACTAAACCCCAGAGGTAGGTGGGTACAATCAGTCCCATGGGTCATGAAATGAGTAAGGTGATATGGAAGTACAGTCTTATCTGTGTGTATTCATAAGGAAAACTAGAATGTTAGTAAACAACTTTAATGGCTTAATACTACCACAGTTAAGTAGTATCATTTGTATATAGTCTGTATCACTTTTACTTCACAGATGAGGAAACTGAGGCACAGTACACTTAGAGAACTTGCCTGTATTCACTCACAACTAGTGTCAGAGCTGGGATTTGAAAAGGTAGTTGGCTTCAAAGTCCCTGCTCTCAACATAGCACCATCTGATTGTTGCTTGCCTGGTTTACATTTTTCCCATCATTTTACTTTTGACCAAGCTATGTGATTATATTTAGCCCTTTCATGACCAAATTATTTTCTGCTTTTAATTTTTTGTTGATACCATATGTTTCCAGTAATGGAAGCATGCTGAAATCAAGGGAAATTTTTTTTGAGTTAATATGGATTTCGATACAATTCTATGGGACACATATGTTCCAAATGGGCTCTGGTGGTAGGATTGTTGGGGTGAGGCTCTTTCTTCTCATTCATGCAGTTATACAGGTCACCACCAGGCAGCAGCATGTACTACAACTGGGATAGTAACTTCCCAAGAAACCTGAGAGGCTGAAGATATTGGTGGGCAATATACACAATCTATGAAAGGGTTAAAGTTTTTGTAGCTAGCACGTAGTTGGATGTTATTTTCTGTTGTTGTCCTTTAAGCCCAATCTAGCTTCTAACAGGTGAATTTAGATCATTTACATTTAATGTAATTGTTGATATGGTTGAATTCATTTTTTTTTTTTTCCTGCTTGTATCCTTTTTTTCCTTCTTCCTTGCATCCAATAGCATTACTTGTATGTGTAGCTAACTCAGAGGATTTGGGGAGGATTAAATCAAATACTACAAATGAGGCAGGTACAAATCAGACCCCTAAACTCAAGTGCACAAGAAATATGACTCACTTTCCTTTAATAATAAAAGTTCCTCTTTTGAGGATGGCGGATATTTAATCTGAGTCAATTGGGGTCCCCCTTTTTCTTCTGAATTTGGACAGCTCATGTGAGGTTAAGGTGGAGGGGTGCATGTATCCGTCCTTGAAGTCTTTACTCCAGGATAGGACCCACTGGGATATCCACTGACTGTGTGGTCCTGAGTGAGTTGTTTAGTTTCTCTGTGTCTCAGTTTGCTTGTATATAAAATGGGGATAATAAGAATACTTATGTCAGTGGGTCATAATGAGGATCAAATGAAATAATCTGTGTAAAGAACAGAGATTGCTCATTAGCTCATTAACTCAACTAAATTTCCTGAGCACCTCTTATGTGCTAAGCACTATTCCAAGCACCGGGGATCCAGCAATGGCCAAGACAAGCAAGGTCCCTCTTCTTAAAAGGCCCTCATTTTGATGTCTGGCAGATAGCAAGGACTCTCTAAATTCTAGCTTTTCTTCTGGTTGTCTAATTCTCAGTTATTGGACCACCCAGGCTGTCCCTGAGATGTCCCACTCTCCTGTCAGCAAGACTCTTTGGGTTGGGAGGTCTCCTCCCCTCTTCCCTGTTGTTTTTGGGCACAAGGTACCTTTATGCTTCTTCTACCATATATTGGAGTGGGAGAGCCTGTGAGGCCTCTTAATGTTCCGTCTGACACCTCTGACACCTACCTGGGGCTTTACCCAGGAAATGAGGCCCTGGTCCTCTCTGTTTTTGGAGTCCCCAAACCATCTGTGGTTTTTGTAATTACTTGGGGTTCACCAGGAACGAGGTGCAGGTGCCCTCCCACACGTTCATAACTTCCTTCCTACTGATATGTCTCCTGCCTGTATTTTAGGGGCTCTATCTTTGGTGTTGAAATGTTGTGAATGAGGTATGATTTGCATAAAGTAAAATGCACTGACCCTAAGTGTGCATTCAGTGAGTTTTAATAGAAGTACACACTTGTATAACCATCAACCCAATCAAGAGAGAGAATTTCCATCACCTCAAAAGTCCCTCATGCTTCTTTTCCAGTCAACACCCGCTCCCACCCCCACCTCAGAGGCATCCACTGATCCTAATCACCATAATGTAGGAGTTGTTTTCAATCATGACATTTTCTTCCCTTTTTTTTTTTTTTTTAATTTTTTCATTGTGATTTGGGTGAAAGTTTACAGAGCAAATTGATTTTCCATCCAACAATTCATACACGATGTGTTTTGTGACATTCATTGCCATCTCTACAATGTAACAGCACTCTTTCCACTTCCTTCCTGTGATTACCGGTTCCATTTATCCTTCATTCCTATGCCTTCCTGCCTTCTGAGCTTTATCTCTGGGCAAATGCTGCCCGTTTGATCTCATATGGTTGATTGTTCTAATGAGTATGTACCTCCCTGGTGTTATTGTTCACCTGATAGACCTGTCTGTTGTTTGAGTGCAAGTTGAGCCATGGGGGTGGGTTCAGTTCTAGGCTTGATGAGGGTCTAAGGGTCATCGTCTCAGGGATCCCATCAATCTCTATCAGACCAGTAAACCTGGTCTTTTTTTTATGATTTTAAGTTTTGTTCCACATTTTTCTCTCACTCTGTT